TTCGCACTGGTGTAGGAACCCTGCTGCGACTTCCGCGGACTTTCGCGCGTCAACCGAGACTGGGTCTCGGTATATCCCCCCTCGCACGCCAAAAATCAACAAGCTACGCGCTCGATGATTATGGTTAACAAACGTCTTCCCTCCTCGACGTGGAAAATTGTTCCTATCCCCTCACCTCTCATAACAGCCATAGATATATTCGGGCCCGCATTCGGCACCATCCGGATAATCAACATTTATAACGACCGCGACCATAACGAAGCTATCGACGCGCTGCGAGCTTATCTGCGCACCCCAGAAGCCACGCAGTGTCCGATGGGACAACTGCGGTACATCTGGGCGGGGGACTTCAATCGACACCACCCGCTATGGGACGAAATACGCAACCATCACCTTTTCACGACCCGCAACCTCAGACTAACGCAACCGCTCCTGGACGCCCTGGCTAACCACTCCATGCGTATGGCGCTGCCGAGGGACATCCCCACCTTGCGAGCCTTCAACACAAAAAATTTCACACGCCCGGATAATGTTTTCTGCTCCCCTTCCCTCCTTTCCTCGTACCTCTCATGCAACACTGACCCCGCACTGATGCCGGTGAAGACTGACCACTACCCCATTATCCAGGTACTTGACATAGACCACGAGGTCGTCGAGCACGTCCCGTGCCCGGTTTACCGCATGGCGGACTGGACGGAATATCGGCGGAAACTGTTCGGCAAGCTAGTGCAGCTCGAACGCCCCGGCGGCTACAACACCGTCGAAGAGGTCAAGAGTGCCATCAAGGAGCTTGAGAACGCCGTTCACGAGACGGCTCGGGAGGTTGTCCCGATGTCCAAACCTTCGCCGTACACTAAACGGTGGTTCACGCAAACGATGCGGGACCTCAAGAAGGCGAACGCGAAACAGCAGCGGATCGCATATACAGAGCGCTTCAAGACGGATCATCCGGTGCATGCGGACGCGCGAGTTGCGGCAAAGGCATATTGCGACGAAGTGGCTGAAGGAAAAGCACGCCATTGGGTGGAGTGGCAGGAGCGGCTTGTGGGACTGCAAGTATGGGACGTACACCGTTTCCTGAATGCGACGCCATCCGATGGGAGCGCGGCCCGCATTCCGACGTTGGAGCCGCGCCATCCGACGTCAAAAAGAATTCTCGCGGTGGCGGAGACTAACGAGGAGAAGAGTGAATGGCTGAAAGCTGATTTCTTCCCCCCCAAGATGCAGGTCTCCTCAGTGCCGCCAAATGCAGTATATCCACCGCCAGCGTGGGCCTGGAAACTGACGTCCGACGACGTTGTACGGCGCGCGATCGACAAGATGAAGCCGTACAAGGCTACGTTCCCCGACTCGACTCCGAATTGTGTTTTCAAAGAATGTGCTAACCTCATAATACCCATTCTAGGCCCCATCTATCGAGCGCTGGATGAGCTCAAACATTTCCCGGAGGATTGGAACGAGTTGCGCGTTCTGGTCCTACGAAAACCCGGGAAAGCCACCTACGCAGAGCCAGGATCTCACCGACCCATAGCACTGACGAAGGGCTTCGCGCGCCTCTGGTACGCCTGCAAGGCGGCACAGTGGGGCTCGGAAGCTGAGTTGGCGGGGGTTCTACCTAAGAACCAGTTTGGAGCGCGGCCGGGGAGAGCAACGACGGACGCACTGCATAAGATTGTGAAAATAGTCAAGGACGCATGGCGTCGCGACTTAGTCGCCACGATCTTATGCATGGACGTCAAAGGAGCTTTCCCCAGCGTAGACCTCGACCACCTTATTCACGACATGCGAATGCGTGGCGTCCCGGTGGAGTGCGCAGAGTGGATCCGGCGGCGCTTCGAGGGGCGCAAGGGCCGCTTGACGTTCGGAGACTTCGTTTCGGAGCTCTTCGACATCGCTGGCGGCCTGGACCAGGGGGACCCGCTCTCGGGGTTTCTGTATGGCATTTACAATGCCGCGCTTGCGAAGATTCCGAGGGGCGAGAAGAAGGGGGAGGAGGGTGTTGTGTTTGTAGACGACAACACCCTCGTTACTGTCGGCAGTGATTTCCAGGAGACGCACAAGAAGATTCAGAGAATATTCCAGCGGAAAGGTGGAGTGAACGAGTGGGGGGCAGATCACAACGCGAAGTTTGGACCGGCAAAGTATCAGATGGCCGATTGCACGAGACGCCTGGTTCCTCACCCCTTCATATTGCGCAAGAGAATTCCAGGACCCCGCTACAACCTACGACTTGGCCCGCACGTCATCAAGTCCGCCGACTCGGTCAAACTGCTGGGTTTGCATATCGACCGGGGTTTGCGATGGCACGAGCAGGAGGCTGCAGCATTAGCGAAAGGTCAAGCTTGGCTCATCCAAACAGCGCGCATAGCTCGGGCGTCGCGGGGGATTGGCGCGCGCCAAATGCGCAGATTGTATTTGGCGGTGTGTGTACCGCGGATGTTGTATGCTGCTGATGTCTTCCTGTCCCCTCCGGCGAGCAACAGGCAGCAGGGACAGAAGAAAAAGCGCGAAAGAGGAGTAATGAAGAGCCTACACACCATACAACGCAAGGCAGCGCTGGCAATCACCGGAGCGCTTCGTTCCACGCCAACGGAGGTCCTCGACGTCTACGCCAACCTTCTCCCAGTTGTTCAACTGGTAGAGAAGGTTCGGTATGGCGCCGCGCTGCGGCTCGCGACCCTCCCCCGCTCGCACCCGTTGTACGATGCGGTGCGAGAGGAGGCGGCTTCGCGGCGTTGCCAAAAGACACATACATCGCCATTACGCGACTTAATGGCAGATTTCGACATGCAGCCGGATAAGATGGAGGAAATAGAGGCGGTGAGGGTGGAGGCGACGTGGAAATCGAGTATGGCGGTTGAGGTACCGAGCTCAAAGAAGGCGGCGGCGGAAGCCGACAAAAAGGACAGTTCTATTTACAAAGTATATACTGACGGTTCTGGGATAGATGGGCACATCGGAGCCTCAGCAGTGCTGTACCGGCGCGGCGTCGAGACAGGTTCTCTACGGCTGTACCTGGGCAAGACGGAGCATCACACGGTCTTCGAGGGCGAGGGTGTTGGCGGCACCCTCGCTCTCGCACTTTTACGGCGCGAGGACAATGTTACGGGCCCAGTTGCGGTGGTCGTCGACAGCCAGCCCGCCGTCAACGCGACGCGAACGCTCGTCTCGACCCCATCGCACTGGATATGGGACGCATGGCACGCTGAAGCCAAAGCATTTGCGCAGAAACACCCCGGCGCGCAGGTCACGGTTCGATGGGCCCCAGGGCATGTAGGGATTGTGGGCAACGAACGAGCGGACGAGGAGGCAAAAAGAGCAGCCCAACAGCAGGACTCGTCCCCTCGCGGAGCCATTCCACTCTCCCTGCAAGCCACACTCCCTTGGAGCAAATCTGCGGTACGACAGCGACTCAACGCAGAACTCAAGCGGGCGGTCGAGCGCCAATGGCAGCGATCCCCGCGTTACGCGCGAACCATGCAGTATGACCCCAGACTTCTCAAGGGATCGTACCTCGCCATCGCAGACCGCTACCCGCGAAGCCTTGCTGTCCTCCTACTCCAGCTGCGAACCGGCCATATCCCACTGGCAAAACACCTGCATAAAATCCAGAAGGCGGAATCCCCTGTTTGCCCTTGCTGCCGACAAGCGGACGAATCGGTTGAGCACTATCTGGTCCACTGCCCAGCTCACAACGACGCGCGCCGCGAGCTTTACCGCACCGGAGGTCGGAATGCCCGAGTAATGTCAAAGCTCATGGGGCAACCGGAACTCCTTCCCCACCTCTTCCGATATCTCGCGCGCACAGGACGCTTCCACACCGTCCACGGGAACCTCCCCGAGCCCCCAGACCCCAAAAACCCCACACGCGAGGAGATGTTCCAATTCCTCGACAACTTTAAAATCCCCGACCCCTTTCCCCGTGCCGCCGACCCATTCAGAATGTGATGCTCCCGCTTTCCAGACCAGTCGTAGGTCCCAGATCACGCCTCGCCGCGTCAACGCTCGGCTCGCCCATCCCCCAGTTCCTTCTATTCCATTTTATATTCTGTGCTTACCTTACTTACCAGTGCCTGCCCTTACCGGAGGCCTAGACCCCACTTACCCTACCCCGTCGACCCTTAAATTACTCACCGGTCAACAGGTCTCATTTAATGCGCCCCGCGCGCTCGTTCGTCTCCGCCTAATGTTGGCGGGTCGGACATGCTACCGTAGATATTAGATTTCAGACGATAGACAGACAGGTAGATTCGTATGTAGTGTAGAAGCATGCCCAGTGTGCCGCGTGCGGCAAAGGGCAAATTGCACCTAAAAAAAAAAAAAAAAAAAAGCTAGTTATTAGATGACCAACATACCTGAAACATATGAGCGGAGCAACCAAGTTATTTCTGCCCAACTCAAGGGTCTTGAACATCTTCCCCAGCGAAAGCCGCTCAATTTCCCACGGTTCAAATTTCTCAACTTTCAACTTATTTCGGGAATGTGCATGAAAAACAGTAAGTGCATTCAGGCTACCCGAGCATTAGAGCCAGCAGCTTCCAAATCTATGTGACTCCCACTGTGAAGTCAGAGTATGCAGCAAGTTTTTGGGTGAACCCGAACCGCCAAGTACTTTTTGTTATGTTGATTTCAGAAGATATTCAGTAGCCTATATTTCGGGCAAAAGGATTCTCCAGTGAGCACCTGATGCATATGGTGTGCGCCTGCTGGATGTACTTTGCCGTTCACCACTAGCATGTTAGCAGGAGGTCCCGGTTCGATTCCGGGTCAGGTGTTGCTTCGATCGCGATGTCAGCCTTTTTCCCTTTCTTTTGGTTGTGGCTTTTGGTTCGACACGAGTTGACATGAATGTTGGTTAGGTCAACAGGTCGCTTCGTTGGTCAGTACAAGTAGGACTACAATTTGAAACAATGTTGAAGTTTTTTAAGTCTCGTCTGCTCATAATACTCGGTGCAAGGAGGAATGCAGGTAGTTGTGAAGGAAGGGAATAGAGTGGTAACCACTTGATGGTACATGGTGTGCGCCTGCTTGCACTGTTTGAGCTTGCTAGTCAGCATAAGCAGGAGGTCCCGGTTCAATTCCGGGTTGGGTGATAGGCGGGAGTTGGACATCTTTTTTTTCTTACTTGTTGTGTGATGCTTCCATTCATTCTTCATTTTCTTGCATGAGGTTTTGGGACCGGGACGGACTACCACTGGATTACATGTAGCTGTTAAGAGGAAAGAAGATGGAGGGACACAATAATGTTGAAGTTCTCTTGTCTGCTCTACAGGGCTCGGAAGGAGGAATGCAGGTACTTATGAAGGAAGGCAATAGATGAGGTAGCCACTTGGTAGCACATGGTGTGCGCCTGCTGAATGTATTTACTATCGCTCACCGGTTGTTAGCAGGAGGTCCCGGTTTGACTCCGGGTCGGGTGATGGAATGGGTTTATTGGATATTTTTTCCCCTGTTGTGCGATACTCCTTCGTTCTTCACACCGATTTTTTTGTGTGTGAGGTCCGGGACCTGGGTTGTGCCACTGAATTGTTGAAGGAAGGGAGGAACGAAGCAACGAAGGAAGGTAACAGAGGAAAATTTTAAATTTCAACATGAGCTTAAGCAGTAGTTGATTTTTTTCTTTTTTCTTCTCTTGTATCAGGGATTGTGCTTCAAGTGAGCAGACACTCGATGGCACATGGTGTGCACCTACTTCAATTAGCTTGCTTATGCATTGCAAGCAGGAGGTCTTGGTTCGATTCCGGGTCGGGTGATAGGATTTTCATGAACACATTTTTTTCCTTGCTGTACGATACTCTCATTCATTCTTCATCCACTGATTTTTTCGGTCCCGGGACGGACTACCACTGGATGGTACGTAGCTGTTAAGAGGAATGAAGACGATTCAGAGGGAGAGGGATATCGTCTGAAATGATGTTTAATTTTGAAGTTCTTATTTTTCTTCTCTCCTCATGATGCCCGGAAGGAGGAATGTAAGTACTAATGAAGGAAGGGAATGAAAAGCTATTCACCTGATAGCACACGGCGTGCACCTGCTTCAATTACATCAAGAAGATGAGATGATCATGAGCAGGAGGCCCCGGTTCGATTCCGGGTCGGGTGATGGTCCTTCCGATATAAACTATCTTTTCTTTCTTTTGGTTTGACGCACGTTTGACTTGTGTGACTAGGTCAGCGAGTTTGCTCCGTCGGTCGTAAATTAGTCGGCAGTAATTAAAGTTGGTTTATTCAACTTCGAACGTTACTATTAGTTATTGGGAACAAGCTTACCCAGGCGGGTTTGAGTTGAATGCACCAAGTACTTGATTAGAGAAGGGAATAACACTCGATGGCACACGGCGTGAGCCTGCTTCAGTTCGTTTTCAGCTAGGTTGATTGCAAGCAGGAGGCCTCGGTTCGATTCCGGGTCGGGTGTTGTGAATGCCTCGTAGTCCTCCCTTTTTCTCTTCTTTCTTTTGGTTCGACGTGCGTTGGACTTGGAATCATTGTTAGTTAGCACTCCATTTGGTCGGCAGTAAGTACTTTTATTCAACTTCGCACGTTACTAGTTATTGGGAACAAGCTTACCCAGTCGGGTTTGAGTTGAATTCACCAAGTACTTGATGAGAGAAGGGAATAACACTCGATGGCACATGGCGTGCGCCTGCTGGATTTACAGCTTTAAAGCTATGGGTTGTTAGCAGGAGGCCTCGGTTCGATTCCGGGTCGGGTGATATTGGTTGCGATGCACACTTTTTATCTTTCTTTTGGTTCGACGCGAGTGGACTTTGAATTTGGGCTCGTTAGGTTAACAGACGATAATGATGGGGTCGACTTGTTCGGCAGTAGTAAGTAGCAGCAGCTCATACATCACAGTGGGAACAAGCTAATCGAGATGGGATTGTGTTGAGCGAAGGTATGTACTACATTCGTAAGGCCGGCAGTAGTAGGCTAGCAGCGTTTGACCGTGGAGGGAATGCCGATTCAGAGTAGGGCGTACATAGGAATTGGGCGTCGTCGGGTGTTGTAGACAGGTAGCGTCGAATTAAAGTACCAGCGAGAGTGGCTAGCGGCCGTACGCGTTAAAGTAATTGCGTTTGTGAGAGACGTCGTCCTGCAGAGAGACTCAGAGAGTGGTTTGGCATGGAAACAAAGGTGGTGGTGTTAATATGCATAGCAAGACATTGAGTGACAGACATAGCAAGACATTGAGTGAAGGGAATTGCAGTTTAAGGAATTGTAGGCGGTTCTCCCGCGCGCGGCATACACTGTACAGATGCAGCCTGGAAACCAGTTTATCTTGAGTTCGGAAGCTGATAAATAGCGCATTATAAGGGACTCCCCGAACGGCCGCCCGTTGCAGTAAATGAGGAGATTAATGCGCGATATGGTGGCGTGAGTGCCATTTTGAGACCCTCGGAAGCGGGTAAGAGGGAACGAACAAGACGCTAGTGCGTGTATCAAGGAGAGGGTGTCGCCGGTGAGACCGTAGTGCGGTGTTGGTCGCCGTCCAGAGGTGGTGGTGGTGGTGGTGGGAGGAGAGAGAGAGACGAGGCCGGTGAAGTGTTTGTTGACCGAGCAATGTTGCCTATTCTCGACCTTCATGCGGATGAATACCGTGAATATACACCCCCACGCAGGACACGCCGGCCGCAATAAAATAGCGAGGAAGGAATGCAATAGGCTGCTTGGGTGACGCACAAGGCTAAAGCGAGGACGGGAATGCCTAATACACGTGTGGAACCGACCCAATACACGAACAGGAACCGCCTTTAAACCCAGACTGGGGGGAGCAAACCTAATTCCGCGCGCCACCCTTTCTTTCCTCATCCCGCCACCACAATATGTCCGCGAATACACGCCAACGCCGCAAGCCCGCACCCAAGCTCGACGACGACGACGCCGACGCCCTCAGCGTCCTCACCGTCGCCGACCCGACGCCGGCGAGGCACTCGTTCGCGCTCTACCCAGACCCGCCGCTGCCCACGCCAGCGTCGCCCACGCCGTCGTCGACAGGACACGGACACGGCCATGGCCATAGTCCCCATTACACCCGCCGCCGCGCCCAGTCGTCCTCTGCCCACTCCGAGGCGGCCAACTCGCCCGTGTCCCCGCCGCTTGCGATCCCAAAGTCCATGTCCACCTCGATGGCAGCGCCACCCGCACCCCGCACCCGCCTCGCGCGCCTCCTCCTTCCCCACGGCCACGCCAGCAAAGTTACTTCTACTTCTACTAGTACTACCTCTACCTCAACCTCTGCTTCGAGCAAAGACGCGCCCGGAATCCGCAAACACACCATATCAATCCCCACCCCCGCAACCCTCCCCTCAAGCATGCTCCCCCCCGAGCTCGCCGCGTTCGTGCGCGCGCAGAAGCCCGTCGCGCTGCGGGACCTTGAGCTCCCTCCTCCTCCCTCGCCGCCCCTGCTCTCTCCAACGTCCACCTCTGCGTCGGGCACGAGTGGTACAAGCGGCACGAGCTCCTCGCGCGCCTCGGGCGAGACGGCGCTCACGTCCCCGCCGCGCTCGCCGCTCTCGCCGTGGGCGCCCACCTCCTCGTGTACCTCGCCTACGGTGCCGACCTTTGCGAGTACGAGTACGAGCCCGCCGCCCGCGCCCACGCTCGTCTCGCCGGCGTCTGTGACGTTCGCGGACGCGCCCACCTCACCTACCTCCCCAACCTCCCCTCGCACCTCCCCAACCTCCCTTCACACCACCAAATCCCGACCACTACCCACAATTCACACTGCGACGCTCCCCAAATCCCAATCCAGTCGCGCCGTAAACCGCAAACCACCCCCCCTCGCGCCCCTCCTCCCCGTAAGCGCCAGCGCCCTCGCGCGCGCGGCGCGTCTGCCGCTCGTGGCGCCGAGTGGGGTGCGGGTGGGGTTTGGGGAGGTTTTGGGGTTGGATTCGTCTTCTTTACCTCCTGCTTTACCTCCGTTGACTATGGGTGGCGGCGAAGAGGTTGAGGGGGAGAACATAGTGCGGCCAGCCAGCACGAGTCGGTTCGTCGAGCTGCTCGCTCCCCCTGCTTCCGTCCCCAAGAACAAGACGAGCAAGACGCGCAAAACGCTAGTCGTGTTCTTGAGACACTTTTGGTGTCCGCTGTGTCAGGATTATGTGGTTGGGTTGGCTAGGGCTGCGTCTGCGGCTAAGGATGGGCGTGAGAATGGGGAGGAGGGGGAGGGGTGTGGTGTTTGTAGGAATGAGGAGAAAGACGAGCGAGAAGAAAGTGTGCGTATTTTCTTCCAGTTCGATTGGGTGCGACTGGATCTGGTGCTGATGATGTGTCTTATTTTGTAGGCTGCTACCGCTACGGCTACCGCTACGACTCTTTCCTCGTCGCTACCTGCCAACGCCGACGCTCACGCTCCCAACCCTCAAGCTGAAGTAGCTGAAGCCGAAGAAGCTGCAGCTGCCGAAAACGCCGACGCCGATAGCGCTGAGGAAGGGGAAGGCACGCACCTCGTGCTCATCGCGCCCGGGGCGCATACGCTCGCGGAGCGGTATCTTGCTTCGTTTGGGTTTCCGGAGCTGTCCGAGTCTACTTCCACCAACTCCTTCCCCCACCACTCTTCCTCGCCCGAGTCCACTCCGCCTACCAAGGGTGTACAGGGCGACGCGCCGGACCACCCGCACCGGAAGCGAAGAGGAAGAGGGCGCGGGATCGCCTCCATCCGCCTCTTTGTCGACCCGCGCCCGCAAGAGGGGGTGTATGCTGCGCTTGGGATGGGGTGGGCTGGGGGTGCGAGTCCGCCTGTCTCGCCTACGAGTCCGAGTAGTGGGCTCAACGAAGGAGGCACGGGGATGGAGAGCGTGGGCTTCGTGCCGGGGGTGCCGTTGCCCATCCCTTTCAGTCCAAAGCTCACCAAGGATAAAAAGGGAAAGGTGGGGAGGAGTGTGAGCTTACCGCCGGTGGTTTTCGCTAGCGCCGCAGGAGCAGCAGGGGGCGAGAAGGGGATGGAGAAGATGGGCGAGAAGGGCGAGAAGAGGGGCGAGAAGAGCGAGTGGAGTGCGGGGAGGGGGTTTGCGAGGGGTGCAAGAGGCGGGGAGCGGGAGCGCGGTGGGATACCGCGGTTTGAGGATTCGACGACCGACGCCCCTGCACCTACGGCGACGACTGACGCCTCTACGAACACCGCAACCAACCCCGCGGCCGAAACCGCGCCAGCAACATCAGACCCAGACGCCGCCCCCACCTCATACATCACGCACTCTGCGCTCGGCGGCGTGGGCGCGGTGTTGCTGCGCGCGCTGCGTGCGGGGATGCCGGTTTGGGAGAGGGGCGGGGATGTTAGGCTGCTTGGGGGGGAGTTTGTTTTTGAGGTTGGCCCGTGAGTTGGGTTTTGCTTGTTTTGGGTTTTTTTTTTTCTGCACTTGGAGACTTCGTTCGTCTGCGAGCGAGAGCCTCGCGGCGTTTTTGTTTCACCTGCCTCTTC